TTAATGACTGGAAAGCAATGAACAGAGGCTTTGATTAACACTGACTATATAAGCAGGCCTGGTATTATCTCAAGCATGCACAGATGGGTAGAAGTTCCTTGGCAATTCTGGATAACCTACAGAGCATCAACTGCATGCATTTCTGAGTGTCAACATTATATCTGAAACTATTACAAAATCTCCATTCACAGTTTATTTTATGAACAAGAGAAACTAGTTTTATGAAAGTGATTGTTCCCTGAACTACAGTAAACCTGCAAATTACGTGGGGGTTACTTTCCAGGGATCACACCTTAAACCCAGAATCACGTACAGTCAAAACTCAACGGGTTCAATGGCAGGTGGGATTGCCAAAACCATTTTCCCCAGAACCCCACCCCCTTTCTTCTGCCCCTTTTTATTAATGTTAATTTTTGCCATGTGTGTAAAGCTGAATGTGCACAAGTTAAATGTGTATAAATTGTGGGCCTACTATAAACTGGTTAATTAAACTATCGATGGTATTTTAAACTGGGGGGGTATTGTTTATGTTTGTTATTATGTTATGCATTAAAGCCATGGTTTTCCCAGTAGTGATGTATGGAAGTGAGAGCTGGACCATAAAGAAGGCTGATCGCCGAAGAATTGATGCTTTTGAATTATGGTGCTGGAGAAGACTCTTGAGAGTCCCATGGACTGCAAGAAGATCAAACGCATCCATTCTTAAGGAAATCAGCCCTGAGTGCTCACTGGAAGGACAGATCGTGAAGCTGAGGCTCCAGTACTTTGTGGCCACCTCATGAGAAGAGAAGACTCCCTGGAGAAGACACTGATGCTGGGAAAGATGGAGGGCACAAGGAGAAGGGGGTGACAGAGGATGAGATGGTTGGATAGTGTTTTCGAGGTTACCAGCATGAGTTTGACCAAACTGCGGGAGGTAGTGGAGAACAGAGGTGCCTGGCGTGCTCTGGTCCATGGGGTCACGAAGAGTCGGACACGACTAAACGACTAAACAACAACAACATGTTATGCATTTTTGCGTTTCTATATTTTAAACTGCCCTGTGATCGTCAAATGAATCGTGATTTAGAAATTTAATAAATAATAATATTGCCACATTTTAGGGGCCTGGAAAAACCGATGCAGGAGGAATTACCTCTGCCCAACCCACACAACTGCTTCCTACGGAGGTTACCAACAGGGATTAACCTGTTTAGTCTTTTGATCCTCCATACTCTATGGTTTCACAATACAAAATTACAATAACAAGTAATGCTAGTAATACATGACAGTGCAGTGGCACCTCAGAAGCGGAACGGATTCTGTTCCAGAAGTGTGGCTTCCAATTGGCTGTAGGAAGCTCTTGCAGCCAATCAGAAGCCGTGTTGGACATTCAGGTTCCAAAGAACCTTCGCAAACCAAACGTTTGACTCACAAGGTATTCGGGATCCAAGGTACGACTGTACTGCGATACTGGACAGGTTATAAAATACATTTTAAAAAATAAATCCCATAGAAAGGAAGGAAGGAAGAGAGGGAGGGAGGGGAGGGTTTGGACTTGATACCCCCCTTTCACTTCCATTAAGGAGTCTCAAAGCAGCTAACAATCTCCTTTCCCTTCCTCCCCCACAACAAACACTCTGTGAGGTGAGTGAGGCTGAGAGACTTCAGAGAAGTGTGACTGGCCCAAGGTCACCCAGCAGCTGCATGTGGAGGAGCGTGGAAGCAAACCCGGTTCACCAGATTACGAGTCCACCACTTTTAACCACTACACCACGCTGGTTCATTTAAATACTGCCAGTCTGAGGAAAATGGATGGCAATAATCTTCTGCTTTTTATTTCTACTTCTTTGAAAGCAGATACGATTAGGTTTCCATTATGAAGTAGATAAGTATGCATATTAATAAATAAATCTAGTTAAATCTTGTTGAACTACTTAATGATTATTCTGCCTGTAGTAGCAACTGTAATGCATTCTGTTAGATGCTGTATAATTTTTAATTGCATTTTTATCTAAGGAATTTAAATTGTAATACAATAAAACACGATACAAGAAATAAAAGGCAATAAAAACACAATTAAAATTACAAATATTTAATGCGGACATGCCACAGACAACCTGAATGAAGCTTGTGGACTACTGGTGGTCCACAGACCACACTTTGGAAAACCCTGCTGTAGTCTGAATTCTTACTTAACACTCAAGTAAGAACTATATACAAGCATAAGAAAGATTTCAGCCACAAAGCCACAAAGAAAGCAATTAATTGGAACCGAGTGGATCTTTCTTCCAAGTAAATATGCACAAGATGAATCTGCAAGAATCTTAAGACTGACCACAACCTCATTGCTTTTTTATAGATGTATATGCTTACGACTCATGGAATGTAGCAGCTGAAAGTACGAGCTGAAAAACAGGAAAACCCAGGTTTTGGTTGGCCTTGGCAATCTACTTTTGTCCAAGCCTCAAGCCCTCAATTGCAATATGGAAGCAAATATATTGGTCATGAAGCACTGTAAAGCTCTTCAAACAGGCAGTACTCTGTAATGAACTCCTCTATTGCATAGTAATGCATTATATTACTATTATTACTTGATTTGGTTTTGATTTTATTTCTTGCATTTCTATGCCACTTTCCATCCAAATGAATCCCAAAGTGGCTTACAAGAAACGAATTGCAATAATAGAACAGAGTATCACAAGTCCTGTGTTAAGTCATATTATATGATTATCAAATCAAAAAGGCATTTATAATCTATAAAACAATATTAACAAAATAGCAACAAAAAATAAGCTAAACACTATTAAGTTTATAAGCCCTACCCCAGTGACTCATAATCTTTCACTCTATTCAGTTTATTAAAGTACATCTACACATCCATCATACAGAAGGACCTGGATCTAAAAGAAATACCTACAACAGAGCTATACTTTTAACTTATTAGTTATTAAGTTAAACCTGCGACCCAACCAGTGATGTTCAAGGCAGTGGCCAACAACTGAATGATACAACCATCTCCATGTCTTTGGATTTATTCAGCTGCTGCTCACAGGCCCTTGCTAATACATTACTTATAAAGCCCCAACACTGCACCTGGCATTTTACAAAGTTTCATTATCTTCTCTCTGACCCCCAACGCCAAAGTTCCCTGCCCCAAAGAGCATACAATCCCAAATTTTAACAGTGGGGGGGGGGAGGCCAACAGCCAATGAAGGGGTGACGGTAAAGGTGTAGATTTATCAATCTTTAGTTAGGAAAAAGGATGAAAGGAAATGGCTTTTCAGAGGAGATAATTTTAAGATGAGTGTCCTGAAGGAAGATGGGGGAAGAGTCTCCACCTTCGCCCCCAAGCTCTGCACCCTCAATCTCCAATGTGGGTTTAATGAAGAAGAAAAATCTCAATTCACTGATAAACAGGACTAGGGGTATATGTAGCCGGGGGGGGGGGGGCAGCTGCCTCCCGAATCAAGTAAATAAATAAAAAACGCTTAACTAAAAGTATACATTGTAGAAAAATTATGACAGATATTTCTGAGAACTTGGGGTCAAAAGAATGTAATTTAAAACAACTGTTGTCAAGACATTTCATTCCGAATCTGCTACAGAGCCAGGCAGAGGATGGTGACAGGGGAGTATTCTGTCCGCCTAACATAAATCCTGGCTACACTCATGCTAGGGGGGAAAGTTAAATCTGTCCTTGTGTTCGCTGTGACCACGACAGGACAGGTGAAAAAGGAAGGCTGTAAACTCCTTGAGATCACCGTTCCCTACGTTCCTAGTAAGGTAAAGGTAAAGGGACCCCTGACCATTAGGTCCAGTCGCGGACGACTCTGGGGTTGCGGCGCTCATCTCGCTTTATTGGCCGAGGGAGCCGGCGTACAGCTTCCAGGTCATGTGGCCAGCATGACTAAGCCGCTTCTGGCGAACCAGAGCAGCGCACGGAAACGCCATTTACCTTCCCGCTGGAGTGGTACCTATTTATCTACTTGCACTTTGACGTGCTTTCGAACTGCTAGGTTGGCAGGAGCAGGGACCGAGGAGCGGGAGCTCACCCCGTCATGGGGATTCGAACCGCCGACCTTCTGATCGGCAAGTCCTAGGCTCTGTGGTTTAACCCACAGCACCACCCTGCATAAATTGTGGGCTTATTGTATTCTGTGTGGCATCCAATGTAATATATCATATACTTAACAACAATAACAACTTACTTTTATTTAGCCTCTCATTGAAACTCTATCAAGAGGCTGCATACACTTCTTTCACAACTTTATCCATTGTTGAACCACTTAGGAATCATTGTCACCTAAATAGCACTTTTCAAAGCACCTTGTACACATTATCTTACTGTAATCCTTAAAAGTATCATCCCCATATTGCAGACTGGAGCTAAAGACCTTGTAAAATTCAAAGGAGAGATGAGATGAGATTCGCGGGGATTCGAACCGCAGACCTTATGATCGGAAAGTCCTAGGCTCTGTGGTTTAACCCACAACGCCACCCACGTTCCTACTCGGACGCAAATCCCACCAGGTAAGCAGCCCCGCAAGCCATTATGGGGTTAATTCTGTGCGTAGATCAGCTTCGAGAATACCACCTAAAGGACTCCCAGACCAACTGTGCGGGGGGGGGAGAGACGGTGAAGTTGCTGAGGCTTTTTCGCCTGGCGAGGGGAGGCGCTAGCAAGGCCTCGGCTATCCTTCCGAAGCGGCGGGCGCCTCTCCCCCGCCCCAGAGCCGCTGTCGCTGCGCCCACACCTCACCCTGGGTCTGCCCGTATCGCGCCCTCCCCTTCTCGCCCCCGCCGAGCCAACACACACCGCGGCCGGGCGGCCGGCAAGTTACCTTCCCAAGTGACATCGTACATATCCGAGACCTTCGCCATCTTGCCGGGCTCCCCTCACGCCTCGCCTGCGCCACGTGACCGCCCGGAGCCCCGCCCACAGAGTTTCCTGGCCCCCGCCCCGAGCTCAATCGCTGACAGATCCGAGCCTGATTGGTTGGGGGGAGCTAGGGGCGGGATTCGCTCGCGGAGGGCGGGGAAAGCGAGCGACCTTCTTCGCCTCAGGTTGGCCTTAAAAGCGCCTTTCGTTCTCGGTCTCCAGTTCGCCGAGGCGGACGACCTGGGTGAAGGGTGTCGTTCATACGCGGCTTTCAATCCAGGGATTTAGAAATCGTTTTATTTAGCTGCTTGCTTCCTTAGAGGATGTGTTTATTAAAAAAAACAAAACACGGGGGGAAGATTCCCACAGCCACTTATGTACAGATAGTTTAAAAGGGGGGGGGATATATATTCCCTGCCCTCAGGTTTACAGTGTAAAAGACAAGACACGCCACATTACCTCATAAAGGAAAAGCACGTTCACAAGAGACCGCCCAGTGAATTAGATCTTAAAACATGAAGTAATAGCTGTTTCCCACCCCCCACCCCTTTTATTACATATTATTTTATTCCGTATTTCTTATTGGATTGCTATAACAAAGTCCTGAGATAGGAAAAAGAAAAAGACATGCAAGGGAAAGGGAGAGAAGAGGGAGAGGGGGGAAATTCTTAATTTAATTTGCTATGTGAAATTAATTTAATTTACTACGTGGAAAATATTTTTCCCCTCCACGCCCCCCCCCCCAAAAGCAGCACAGACTTTTTTCTTTTAACCTTTGAGGCTTTTTGCCTCTGGTGCTCACTCTTAACTGCGTTTTCTTTTGTACACGTGTGTATTATTTATCTCCCATCTTTCTTCACCCAAAGATGGACACGGAAGGGCTCACAAGAATCATGGAAACAGTGAACCGCAGTAGTAAGCCCAAGACACAGTAGTAAGCTCAAATACAAGACGCACCCAAAGTCATGTAGTATAGAAGTAGTGGGAAATGGCATACAGGAGAGGAACATCAAGGTTGTTTGGAAGGCATGTGACTTTATCCTCAAAAGTGCTGGGCAAACGTGTCACAGTGGACCTTCAAGGCTTTTCTGGTGTGCCCTCCACAGAAAACTATCTCCAGACCTCCCTGGAGAGCAGTGCTCCCCCTGCACAGGGCACCAACCCAAAGGGGTGCAAAACTATGACTTGAGAGCATGCGCAAAACAGGAGGAGAGAGGGAGGAAGTTGACAAATTTTGCCCTTGCCCAGGGCACAATATTACCAAAGTTTGCCCCTGCTGGAGGGTTCAAGGATGCAACAGAGGCAGCAAAGTATGCCTATTTTGCTGCCCTCATTGCCACACGGTAGTCCTGATGATGGAGTATTGTAGAGGCTACCATGTCCACCCATGTTCACCCGCCCATTGTATGCAGATATATGGACCTACATAACTAATTATGACAGAGCACAGTTGTCTTATCACCCTTCCATGGTGTCCTCACATCAAAGCCTACTGTATAGATGTTCATACAGGTACTTTTTGACACATACATATGTACCCCCGCTGTGATTCTTTATCCTTCCGTATTCCTTGATCCTGGTTGGCAAGTAAAACCTGTGCCACAAAAGTACAGGATTTCCAGCGTTTTAACTGATTCCATAGCAAGTTATGTGAAAAAGCAGTGATTTCATACTTGGAAGAAACTCGCACATGTGTTTTCATCAACATTTCGCATAGGCATTAAGTCCCATTGTAAAATCTCAGGCTCCTTAACCTAACTTTTTGCTGTCTTTCACACATGCAATGAGCACATGATTCCTCCCAAACTTTTTTAATGGTGCAGTAATGCCCACTGCATAATCTCGCAAACATATATTTCAATCTTCCTCACATAATACAGCACAAAATAGGACGCATGATAGGGAACATTTTTATTATAACTTCCACGCCCCATTCCAAAACCCACCAAACCTCCATAGTCATCCACATACACTGGGTAGTAACTGCTGTGGTAAATTGTTCAAACTTAGAAGCATCTTTCGTTGTCCTTATACTTTCTGGAATCCTTCGCACTGTTTCACACACATACTCATATAGAAATCCATGGTAACTGCAAGAAGCAAGAAGGCTGATTCATAAAAGCATGTTTCAAACTTTTCCTATTTATTTTTCACTCCAGGGTAATATTGAGGTGGTGAAGCCTTCAGCTGGGCACCCACTTTTACAGTGCCCAGCTAAATAGGGAATGGAGCCTGTGGTTATGGCAATGTGCACCTCACCAAGCAATTATTACAGTTTAATAAAGGATTCCTACCACCACCACCACAGAGTCAGCCTTAAGGTAAGATATGAACTGTCAATGAGGTAACCAGATTCAGTGGATCACATTGCTATTAGGTTTTAGGGCTGTTCCACACTTTAGGCATAATTGCTGCAGATGCATCAGTGGTGTTTTCTGTAGTATTCATACGGGTGGTGTGACATTTCCCTCACACAATTTCATCTAGGTTTTAAATGTGAGGTGGAGAACCTGAGCTTAGGGCTAAGTAGCTATAGGGTTTAAAAGACAAAACTTTGGCATGGTATGTGAGCTTAAACGTGTCAACTCAGAACTAAGCCCAATGAGTTCAGTTGAACTTACTCTCAGGTAGGTGTGCATAAGATTGCATCCTTAATGATTTATCTTCAGATCTTACACCATTTGTCTATGATCGGTAGGGTTTATAACATCACCACAAAATGTCACAATATGGACTTTGTTTTATTGGGCCTTGGTTGTACACACCAGTTTGAAAGTTTGAGAGAGATTGTATTTGGCATGGACAATATAGCACTGGCATAGGTTTCTTCCTCAATGGAAAAAGGAACCAGATTGTGACTTCATTAATTAACCACTTCCATATGAAGGCTCTTTTCCCAGAGAACCAGACGGAGTCCATGCAATTCATGGCTCTCAAAACTTGTAGTCATCTTGCAGCTGATGCTGCCAAGACTGAGTAGAGAAATTGGGGGTGGGAGAGTACTGGTATTATTTCTGAACTCTCCATCTCTTCCCAGTGAACCTTATTTAAAATATAAGGAGGGAAGAAAAGGAAAGGTGTGTGAGCAACCTGTGATTTTATTCACACAATGCTGTATTTTTTTAAAAAATGTGATACTTATACAGTGGCTAATAAAATCAGTGCAGTGACCTTTTCAGGAGATTTAAGAGCAGTTAACTGTTCTGGAGAGTGCCTGAATACATGCTGAGATCACAAATGACCACATTCTGGCACCAGAGCGACTTTTCAGAGACATTCTAGTATGTGTTGTTCATGCGTTTAAAGTTATTGGGAGCTTCTGCACTCTACATTAGACCTGAAATTTGCACACATTTGCTCAACAGAGAAACACAACTACTGCAAACTCCACTGTGATTAAGGGTAATCCCAGTTACACACGGGTTTTGAGAGATGGAGTCTTATTTTTAGCAGGGTCAAAAAGAGGGAGTGAATTCAAGACTGCAATCTTGTGAACATAGTCCCATCACACTCAATGGACCTTGTGAGTAAGGCAGCACTGTAAATCACACACCAGGCAGTTATAATGGTCAGGGATAACCGCAAAAGATAAGGAGGCATTTTATCTTCAAACCATTTGAATGGGCTTCCTTGATTGGAAGTTGCTTTTCTAGGATTCCAGAAAATTCCCTCCAAATGGGGCATTGCTAGGTACATGAGACACAAAAGTTCCAGAGCTCAGTCTCTCTCTCTCTCTCTCTCTCTCTCTCTCTCACACACACACACACACACACACACACACACACGTGTAACCTGCTTCCCATCCTTTGTACTGGAAATCCTTTAACTAGAGAGGCCAGAGGTTGAGTCTGAGACATAATGAATGCAAACCATGCATTCTACCACTGAATTCTGGCCATATGGTTAAGGACCAGCTTCACTGGAAAGATTATTTAAAAAAAGCTCTAAACAAGATCAAATTGGAGTCTAGGCCCTGGCCAGTGACCACTTAACCTAGGCAGCTTTGCAAGAGAAAATGAATTCCATCTTCAGAGGGGTGGAGGGACCAACAATTTTCAGCCAGGAGATGATTTTGTTAGAGCACATACCTGAAACAGACTTGCAAGCAAGCTTGATTCTATTTAAAAAATTGGCAACAAACCCTTGTAAAATTCAAGGCCATGCATTCCAAACATATACTAAGGAACACCTGCGAGCTCTGCTTTGGGACAAGGAGGTTAATGTGTTAGTGTAAGTCGATTTGTGGCCAAAAACTTAAAATCCGTTACTTGTGCAAAACATTCTGTCAAATTGAAGGACATGAGCAAGGAGGGCAGTGATGTTTTAGGGAATGTTGTTGCAGACTGGAAAGTAAACTGGTCATTTAACCAAAATTCAGTTAGCTGTCCTTTTATTTCATCCACCATTCCCACAGGCCTGAAGAGTCCTGCAAAAGATGGCTTGGAGCATAAATGACATCATGTGACTCCCCGCCCCCACACTCTACCCCAGCACAAGGAGAACTATGACGTATGAGATTTCGAAACAGACTGACACAAGAGGCCAAAGAACAGATGGAAGCCTTAAGTTTTCAGGGTTGGCCCAAGAAATTTTGTTGCCTGAGGCAAAGGACAAGATGACTGCCACCCCTTCAAAGCACAGAAACTGCCTGGGTGGGCAGCTGAATTTTAGAAGACTCAGGACAGGTAGTGTGGCACTCTGTACTTCAGTACCTTGCCACCACTCCCTGCCTGCTCCACAGTCATAGCTGTCAACTTTTCCCTTTTCTTGCGAGGAATCCTATTCAGAATAAGGGAATTTCCCTTTAAAAAAGGGAAATGTTGTCCACAGTGCCTATGGGCAGGGCTGGCCCTGTAAGTTCTGCACCACTAGCACTCTAGTTCTCCAGCAGCAACAGAGCAGATTTAGCTCCTTAGGCCCAGCCTGACTAGTGTCAAGTGACTCCACAGGGCTATCCAGATCCTAGAAAGTCCCAAGAAAGGGAAAGGGAAAAGCAGCAGAGTCTTGAGGCAGACTAGATTTATTGTGGCACAACATTTCATGGATTAAGTCAGCTGCAGCACATGAAGGGGTGGTAGAACTGTAGCTACAGATGAGCTAGCCGGGATTTTGACTCTGGTGAAGCCTCAAGAGGGGCACCATTGAGGCTGTATGCAAATGTGCGTGGGCGTGTGGCAAAGTGAGTCTTTGACCTGGGTGAAATAAAGCCACATACGGTATAATGTCATGGGTTGTTGTTCATCAGATGTTGTATTTACCTAATTTTAAGACCTGCTAAGGAACAGATGATTGTTATCTGTCCTGATATGTAACACAACACAACTCAAAAGAGGGTGTTTTATTTTTCCCATGACTGTGTTGAGGTGGAATTCCAAGGTAACTCTAGACAGGGAGGAGGATGGGGACAAAACTAGGATAAGTTGGCTTTGCCTGTCACTGGCTGTGAGAGACCGTGCTAAGGAGGATTGGTGGGAGCCTTTCACTACTCCTGCTCCTGCTCAGGATCCTGAATCTTCCCAGGAGCAAGAGGACAAGTATAGATTTGGTTTGCCGAAGGGCATAGTTCAGAAGGCAGCAGCTGGGAAACACTGGATGGGGAACAGCTAGGAGAAGAAGCACTGGGAGATAGAGAGTTAACAGATTCACTGTCTCCGGAAAGCATTCCTCCACCAGAAAAGCTGATTAAGGTGGCAGAACAGAAAGCACAGAGATTATGAACTCAGGTTACAAGATGCAGTTGTGACCTGGGTGACTAAGGAAGAAGTGGGTGAAACTCTTAATTGGGAGCACTGCCATTCCTAGGAAATGGATGCTTTGTTCTCTCGCTGTGATCATTAAAGTTTCTAACTGGTAAGAAGACTCATTTTCCTTTGTTCTGCTTATCTACTGTCCCCCCCCCGGGGGGGGAGCTGATTCCCTGAAGCCTGACACTGGTTATACCTTCTATTGGTCTTCCTGCCTCCCTACCAGTCCCAATGGCCACCAGTCACCATTGGAAACAGACTCCAGCTGCTGTGCTTGTTTTCAAGCTTGGCCGAGGCCTAACAACAGCACATGGCCAGTTTTCTATTTCTACTCTGCCGAATCTCTGAAATCTGTGGCTGCTTGTCGATGATGGATTGACTACATAAACTCTTCTCAAACTCCATAAAATAACCAAACTTGAAGGTGTTTTAGCTAAAACTTCTCCACAGTCTGGGAGGACTGTGTGCCAGTCTTGGCTCAAGCAAGCTCTTTAAGTCAGAAGCCTTTGCTTTGCAGTTTGACTATTCATCTCCTGGCTTCTAAAACTGAAGCCACAGATGGAAATTTTAACTAGGGAGAAGCAAGGTTTTTGTGCAAAAAAAACCCGAAACACAAACAAACCCTTCAGAAAAGCAGGATTTGGCTAGTGAATGGCATGTAGTATTAGTTTTACAGATAAAAGGACAATACAATAGACAGATCTAGCTATATATATATATATATATATATATAGGATTTGACATAGTCTTAATTAAATATATGCAATTAAACACCATCTTATTATTATTATTTAATTAAACACCATATTTATATATGGGCGGAACAGGGAAGAGAATCTCTATTGTGGTAACATATGGGATAGAACCCAAGAGAGACCTATTGAGTCATACAACCATATAGCTTTAAGAGAGCTCTGCAGTCATATAGGTCAAGCTGCCTTTTGCCATATCTTCCTGAAGGTTTCTATTAATGAATTAGCTCTTTGGATTGAAGTATGGGGCCTGCCCATAAACACGGCACACTTCCAAGAGTAAATGCACTTTTGTGCAGAACCTCTGTGCTGAATGATATAACTTCCACTCCCTGGTAGTGTGATTTTCCAAATGTGTCTTGCATTTGATAACCTGATATCACTGGTGGAAGAGGAGCAGTTGACCTAGAGCAGATGTCCATAAATGTTAAGCACACTTGAAGAAAATCAAATGGACCACACCACACCTTTTGCTCGTGATCAAATAACACCATTAACCTGTGGTTTCGAGAGATGTTGTCTAACAACAGTGCCGTTGCTTGGCAAACTTAAATGTTTTGTGACTTTTCATTTGTAGCTTATTACTTTTGTACCGTGTCCCACCTCCAATAAGCTCAGTGCAGCATACATGGAAATTTTGTGCTTAAAACAACCCTGCGAGGGGATCAGGCTGAGTCAAAGTGACTGACCCAGAGTTCCATTCAAGTGTCCCTTTGGAAAGCTGGCCATCTGCCAATCACGAGCCTCTTCCTATTGACTGCTATGACTTGTTATGATCTGGCAAACAATCACTTTGGAGAAGGTCCAGGACTGTATTCTCACTCAGTTTGCCTTAGGAAGAAATGTGTTAGATGTGCTGTTTGGACCTGAAATGATTCAGAAGTGAAAGCACCTCTGGATGAAGAAGGCATACTCCCTCATTCTGACTCTTTTTAGATGGTTCAACCCATAGGAGAAACATGCTAAGAGGAAGGCATGCTTGGCAAATCCACACCGTGATCAACTCCCGCCCGGAAACCAATGTCCCCACTGTGGAAAGACGTGTGGATCCAGAATTGGCCTCCACAGTCACTTACGGACTCACTGTTAAAACCGTGTTTATGGAAGACAATCTTACTTGGCTATGAGTGATAAAAGAAGAAGAAGAAGAAGAAGAAGAAGAAGAAGAAGAAGAAGAAGAAGAAGAAGACCTATGATGAAACTCTATGTCTCACCCCTTATATAGCCAGCCAATTGCTGCGCTCTGGAAGAGAAGACCACCTACAGATCCCATCCCATCAGGATGTCAGTTCCATACAATGTAGGAAATGAGCCCTTAGGCAAAATACAAGATGGTGTCCTCACCCAAGGCACCTATGGAAGCCAATTGGACTAGAAGTTGCATCTTACTCCAATGGTGGTAGAAGGCTAGTATCTTCCACTGCACTGGAGGGCAGCAGGCTAGTGTAGGGGGTACCGAGTGAGAGTCATGGCACTCGTAGCTCTATCCCCTCCCTACCCCTCAACCTCATGTTGCCTTGTTCATCTTCTGCTTTGTAGAACAATGATCAAAGAAAAAATTGGTTGTGTGACTCAGTTCTCAGTTACGGGGCATCTTCCTAGTGATTATCTGGCAATTCCCACAACCCAAATTGCTTGAATTTTTACTGTTTAGTAGTCAAAAGATGCATACACACACTAAACTTACATAGAAACTATTTTTTTGTTTCTGTATATGCTGGAAGCCACTCAGAGTAGCTGGGGCAACCCAGTCAGATGGGCGGGGTACAAATAATAAAATTATTATTATTATTATTATTATTATTATTATTATTATTAATGTTTCTAGTATAATTTTTGAGAGAAGGTGTCAGGGAATGCTCAAAAAGTGACCATTCTCAGAAAAATTTTTTGGACAAAACCAATGAGAGTTAAATGTGGTATAGAACTGATGGCTGATAGGCAGCTAACTCAAAGTAGACCCATATATTTGTAATATAAATTCATGGGGGTCCCATAGCTCAGTGGTAGAACACATGGTTTGTATACAAGTTCACACCCTCTAGTTTAAAGGATCAGATCACATCTGATAGAGAAGACCCCTGTTTTTAAGGTCAAATCCACAACATACATTTAAAGCACATTGCTTTCCTGAAAGAATCCTGAGAATTGTATTTTTTTTTAAGGGTGTTGGGGATGTAAATTACAGTTCTGAGGATTCCATGGGGAAAACAATGTGCTTTAAATATGTGGTGTGAATGTGATAATAGACTTTGGAAAGCAGCTCGCTATGGCCTACATATACCCAAAGAGGAGAAAAGCAGGAATGTATTGAGATTGCAAATTTTATTCAACCCTAAAGCATAGCTGTAATGTATTGTGAAAAACCACAAAATAAAGCCTTTTTTCAATTTATATGCCACAAAGCCATATATACCACAAAATAATACAAAAGAAAGACACACAAACACACACACTTTTTAGATTCAAACTATTACAAGTTGTCGAAAACTGAGCTCTCCCATGCAGCAATAATCTCTCCTCTCCCCTTGTCTTCAGTGTTTACCATTTCAAACTTCTGTGTGCAAAGTAACAGAGTGATCTCTGAAAATGTAAGTGGGCGAATTATTTTGAAACCAGTCAAGGGAACTTCTTAACTGGAATGTTATCTCTTACTCTCTTTCTTTGAAGAGTCATCGACAGCTGGAGTTAAGTTAGCAGTCTTCTGACAAACTCTATAAGAACGAGTTCATGGTATAGCTCACATTCACTGGGGTATTGAAGAGCTCAACAGATAAAGACTTGTGTGGTTTGGTTCAAGCTGCGGTTACTGGACTGGATCCTGGTGTGAATAAAGATCAGGTTCGGATTTCTGTCGGCATGCTGAATTGCAAGCAGAATGCAATTTTATTTTGGCTTCAAACGAGAATCTTATTCGGGTGTAGTTGTGTAGCATTTTCATTCCATCTCATGGAATATAGCATAGTCTCTCTTATGTGCAGGCATGGCTGATAAGCTTAGGTCACCTGTACCAAATTTTCTTAGCAGAAAATCTAGCACGTTAAGTTATTTATTTATTCATTTATTTATTGAATAATGCCAAAATATGCTGCTAAGCATTAAATCAATTGCACAAGCATTCAGGTATAAGCATTCATAATTGAAACACAATTAAAATACTTAAACAACCCTATAGGCAGAGACTATAAGTTATACCACTGCAAAACCAAACAGATCAATAGAAAAGTTTAGGATTTGGATGCTTATAAGTGCAACCCAAACATGTCTATTTGGAAGTAATTCCATTGCGTTCAATCAGACGTATTCACAAGTAAGTATATACAGAATTGCACCCAGCGTGTGCTGCTTTCACAACAAAACACCACATTTACATTGCTAATAATTTGATTCAATTCTTCACAGTAGCCTTTTTAATAATTGGGATTTGCAGGGATGTTCCCCCAGTTCTCCGAAAACTGGAAAACTTCTTACTAGTTTGTTTTCTGTTATACTAGAAGCTCCTGAGTTTTCAAATATTGGTGACAATCTAATCCATTTGCCCAAATGGTGAAAGAGCTGGGAGGCCCTGCTTGCAACACATTAACACACCACACACATCAATGCACCTGAGAAACTTCTTTGTAACATTTCAAGTTCCTTTATACTTAGCAGCTCCTGATTATACCTATACAATGTAACATAGTATTAAGTTAAATAAACAAGAGGCATTGGTCTTTAAAATGAGGGGGTACTTTTTAAAATCTCAGCACAAGTTCAATTTCCTTTACCCTCCCCATAGCCTGACTAAACTACTGCCAGAGTCTTCTGTTGTGGCTTACCTCCCACTGAAGAGCCCTCCCAGGTAGATCAAGAAAGAAAGAAAGAAAGAAAGAAAGAAAGAAAGAAAGAAAGAAAGAAAGAAAGAAAGAAAGAAAGACTTACTGGTCTCCTAACAAGATTTGGAAGATTTGGTTACTTACTCTAAGAAAGTGCTGTCCATCTTCTGTCTTCTTAAGTGTTCCAGTGTTGAGAGTTCCACTGCTTGGGGTTCACTAGCAGTTTCTCAATCTGATGCTCCCAACTGGATTTTATCAACACCAAGTTAGATAGTGCATGGCACTATCAACATGTGGGCATCCCTTCACATACTTTTGCTCTGCTCCAAGAGGAGCACAAGCCAATAGAACATGATTCATCCTGCAATGGGCGTTTGGTGATGCAGCGGCAGGCTTTTTTACAAATGGCAGAGGCATTATGAGTGGCATTCCCTACTGAAATAAAAAAGGGGGCCCATCTGTATTGGCATCCCACCGGCTTTTGAAGATGTA